GGTACCGCCACAGCAGCTCCTTGTGCTCCACGTTCATCTTCACCCCTGTCAGGTCTGCCCAGTCCCATGGGGCCTTGAGGAGAGTTTCTATCTGCCGTCTCTCCTCCGCGTCAGGCTGCAGGTTGCGGTCCTGGTGAGCCCTGTGCAGAGATCGCGCGAGCTTGCGATGCTTGTGCTCGACGGGGTTGTCGCACCCGAGCTCAGGATCGGGCAGCAGCGAGTTCCCTCCGCTCGGTATCTGCGTGTAGGGCCTGACCCCGTACATCACCGTCCGGTCCCACCTCTCCATCTCAACCGTGATGGTCGGGCGACAAGTCCCGTCTCCGACGTCCTTGTTGAGCTGCTGGATCCTCCTGAAGGCGAGCGCGTCCAGCCATGGCACTCGCTCCATCGCGTTGCGATCGTACCGCTGCATCAGCTTCTCCAGCTTCTCCATGCTCGGAACGCTTCCTCCATGCTTCTTCAGCGCGTGAGGCGGAGGCGACAGCTGCTGCGCGTCCATGGTCGTCTCGTTGCCATGGTAGAACTCCACCTGGATCTTCTTCCTCCCGCTCTTCAGCTGTCCTTTCTTGCTGAACAGCCTGAACGACGCTTCCCCCAGCGACACGTACTTCCTCGGAGCATAGAGCGCCCGCAGCGTGAGGTGGACGGCGGCGTCCCTAGGAAGATGCCAGTACCTCACGTGGTTGAAGGTCAGCAGGTCGTTCCAGCGACACTGGTTCCCGTAGGATGTGTAGCATGTGCGGGAGGGAAGACCCACCGCTGTCTCTCCCTCCATGATCTGAGCTTCCACAAACAGGTTGGCGAGGAGACTCTCTGCATTCTCTGGATGGATGCCGCTGGTCAGGTCCTCCTTGCTTCCTTCGAAGCTGTCGATCTTCAGTCTCAGAGGTCCGGCTGCCTCCATGTCGCACGTCAAGATCACGTCTCCTACTTCCTCCTCCATTCTTTCTTGCGTTGGCGAAGCAGAAACTCTGAAACGTCGGTTCCGGTTATCGACAGAGCTCAATCACTTTCAGATGCCAGCGCTTCTCACTACTATCTCTCTTATTCATCATCATCATCGTCTCTCACTTCTCTCTCTTTCTTCTCTTTCTGTCTCTTCTTCTCCTTCTCTCGCGTCTCCCTCTCCCTCCCGTCTTCCCTGCCCCGGCATGACGTACGATGTGCAGGCAGAGGTCCGCCTCAGAGCTCTCGGGCTGCTCCGATTAAGTCGGACCGGGCCTCCCATCGAGGACTGTCACTGAGAGAGTTCATATATCTGGGAGACCTTTGCTGGGAGCGCGGCAGGATGGCGGGAGGGACGCAAGGAGACGGAGCGAGCAGCAGCATCAAGCCTGCCATGGAGGGATACGTGCAGAAGAGGTTTGACTCTCTCCTCAAGACCTTCTCAGACCTCCAGGCATGGAGCAGCAGCCCCGTCTCTCAGACCGAGCGCTTGCTAGACAAGCTCTTGGCCGGCATGCAACGAAAGACCACCCGCCTCATCAGCATCATCGACCTGGAGGGCCAAGACTCGCTCCTGGAGCGGCTCCTGTGCTTCAGAGAGGAGGAGCGGCCGGATGACGAGCTCTGCCTGCACGTCATGACCTCAGAGAGCTGGGGGGCTCGTAGCAAGGACGAGGCTGTCTCGGGCCGGGCGACAGGCCGGAGCTTGACTCGTGCTAGGATGAAAGCGATAGAGAGGAGAGGAGGGAGAGGATCTGACAGCAGCACGAGACAAGAGACACGCAAGGCGGATGAAGCCGTCTTGCTTGGCGAGGGAGGAGGCGGTGACGACGAGGGTGCTCGGGAGCTTGTCAGGCGAGTGATGGAGCTTGCTCTAGAGGGAGGTAGAGCGGACGAGAGCTTCTCGAGGCGCAACAGGTAAGAGCGTAGACGGAGGAGGAGGGCGTGAGAGGAGGGTACGGAAGTGACTCGATGTGTTGCTAGCGCTCTGTCAGGTCAGTCGACGTATCGCTCCCAGAGCTTCGAGGACAGTCGGACGGAGCGGAGCTTCGAGGCAGACTTGATCTTCCTGGAGCATCCTCGGGTGTACGGGCTGTGCATGGGGCTCAACGACTACCAGGGAGAGCTCAAGCCGCTTGCGAGGGCCGTGGAGGATGCGACGGAGCTGCATGAGAAGCTCTGCTCACTCCCGCAGTGTCACTCGGTCTTGAGCTCGAACCCAACTTTGTCCGCGATGAAGGGGTGCCTGAGGAGGAGTCTGAGGGAGCTAGAGGGAGCGTGTCCGGAGCTGGTGATCTTCTTCTACGCGGGCCATGGCATCTACGAGTCAAGGAGCAAGGATCAGATGTTGGTACCGACGGACGTGGAGGAAGTGAGAGGGTTATCATTCCGGGAGATGGGTGATAAGATGCTGTCAATGAAGGAGGTTTTCAAGTTCTTCAGAGACTTTGAGCAAGACGTATCAGGATATCATCCGAGGGTGCTTGTGGTCATAGACGCTTGTCGGGACAAGATCGAGGGAGTGTCAGAAGGTCTGCCGCAAGATCCGGAAGTGAAGGCGCTGCCCAAGCATTGGACTCTGCTGCTGACATGCGGCAAGGGCAAGACAGCAAGCGACAAGTCGAAGCTGTTTGAGTCGCTTCTGGATGCAGAGACAGGGATGTTCGCTTGCAACAGACCGCTTGACAGCGTCTTACTAGACTGCGCGAGGAGATGCAAAGAGACACAACCTTGTGTATCGATGAACGTTGATGACATTCCGGGAGGCTTCTGCCTGGTGAGCGACGGCGAGGCTCTGAGAGACATCAGGAGCAGTACAGCTGCACTGCATGCTGCCAAGGATGTCGTATCGAGCTATCCTCCCCTCACAGACACGTCCAAGGCAGACACGTACGTGCTGGCTTACAGCCCTGAAGACGCCAAGTCTTTCAGAGACAAGGCGATAGCGGCGGTGAAGTATGTCCTTGGAGAGCAGCGAGCGGATAGTCCGCGGTGGAGGGTGTGCTCGATCGTGCTGATGTACTTCCTGCGATACGAAGACACGAGGTTCTCTACCCGAAGGCTGCTAGGGAACTTCCTGACAAAGGTCAAAAAGAATCTCGTAGGCCCCGAGCTGGTCAAGGACGTGCTGGAGTATATTGGTCGGAACAAGATCTCGTCGCAGTCGTTCGATGCATGGAAGGCAAGTCAGACAGGTCGCAGCATGTCGGACGACAAGCTGCTCATTGCGATCTTGGACTACACGATCAGCAAGGAGATGGGCAGAGTGATATCAGACCCAGATGAGCGAGATGAAGCATTGGAGATATGGAGCAGGGTGATTGATGAATGCTTGGACCCGTCGGTGTCATGGGAGGACGGGATGGATAAGATCGAAGAGCATCTACGAGAAGAGATGATGCCTGGAGGTGGTCAGGAGGTCTTGTTCTACTTGTATGTGCTGGAGAGAGCCGTTCACGCCAGAAGCTACGTCATGATGCTGAAGATGACCAAGCTTAGCAGCGTGTTCTTGCACTATTGTCTACTCCAATACTATCACAGCAAGCATGAGAACGACAGACACGAGCTGGAGGGCTGGAGGACGTGGATCAGCAGCACAGGCTGGGTCGTGAGGAGCGACGGGTACAGGACAGACTGGAGGGAGTGCGAGGAGAGCTGGAGCGAGGAGCTGAGAGAGGGTTTCCGAGGGCTGGAGGAGTGCGAGAGGCCTGGAGGGTATAGGAGCTTTGAGGCGTTTGTGAAGGAAGGGAAAGGTAAGGTAGAGGCGATAGACTACGATCGTCTAAGCCATGCGCAGGTGAGAGCAACAAGAGAAGAAGACTGACGACCGGCGGCTCGTCTGCGGCTTCGGCTTCTAGGGTAAGGCCGGATGTACATGTAGCCGTGAGGTATGAGGGTCTGACGCATGAGGGCAGGTGGGGTCGGATAGTCTAGACGAGAGGAGGAAGCATCGAGACGAGGAGGCGAGCGAGCAAGCTATGATGACGTCAGCACATGAAACGATTGAGCATGGGCATGGGCATGAAGGGGGTGATCACGACAAGCAGCAGGTGACTCTGACGCCAGGCCTGACAGCAAGCAAGAGACAAGAGAAGGAGAAGCGAAAGCCAGAGGAAGGAGAGGCCGATAGGCTACATGACGAGCAGAGGAAGAAGAGAAGAAGACAAATCGAGGGAGAGGAGGCGCAAGCACTAGTCAAGCTATCGCTAGACCAGGGAGATCAACCCGACGAGCCGAAGGAGAGAAACCAAAGTCAACGCGAACACGCGCAAGAAGCTCAGAGCAGACCAGCAGACAAGGCTAAGGCGGACTCTGAGGTCGTTTTACAGCTGCTGCATGAGCTTGAAGAAGCTTCAATCCCCGAGTCAGGCAAGGCGAAACAAGGCGAGGACTCGTCATCGTCAGACTCAGGTCGGTGGGCGCTTCCTCCTGACATGCGCGACACGCTCCAGGTCTTCTACATCAGTCGCTCCCAAGACTCGGACATGACGGCAGGTCACGCGCAAGCGAGCGAGCTCTGCCTGGGTCTCAATCTGCCGGCCGACCTCCTCGCGCGTCTCGCTGAGACATGCAGTAGTGTCGATGAGTACGAGAGGACGATCGCGAGGGAGTGGGAGCTCGGGCGCAAGCAGGACATGCTCGCCCGGCCTGACGTGCTGCGGAGGATCGCAGAGCAGATCGGCGGAGGCAGCCCGAGGTCTCCCTTATCAGGGCTGCTAGCGAGGGAGACGAAGGAGGCGTGCGGTAGACGCATTGCAGACGTGCTCGAAGCCGTCCAGGTGACGTCATCGGATGCAGTTTCAAGAAGATCGGCAGCATCAGCGAGAAGGTCAAGAGGGAGGTCAGAGGGAGGGAACGCGAAGTTCTCGATCGAGGAAGGAGAGGAAGCTATCTTCGGGAGGCTGGAGGAGTTTCACGGGGGCCTCATCGAGCGCATCGGGCTGCCCAGCACAGACCTGTGGAAGGGGCTAGAGGACGAGCACTGCCACAGGAAGGACTCGGAGGAGCCGTTCACTCCGCCCAACCACAACGAGGTCACGACGCCCAAGCGCGAGTGGGAAGCCGTGACAGACCCGAGCATGCGGCGGCAGCTCTCGCAGGGGATCAGACGCATCCGCGACGTGGAGGGCTTGATGGCGGAGGAGCGAGTGCAGCAAGCAGGGCTGCGGGAGGAGGAAGTCGTCGCGCTGCTGCTCTACACAGGTAGAGGATGAGAGACGTGTAGACGCGTAGAGGTGCGACGAGAGCTGACAGACGCGGTTGACAGGCCCCATGTACTACAAGTACACGCGGTACTGCGACTTCCGGAGTCGCACAAGGTCAACAAGTACGTCACGACCCTGCACTGCGTGGTGAGCGGGGTGATCAAGCTGTCCAAGACCACGAGGCTGCCCTCGTCGCGGGTTGTGTACCGGGGGCTCAAGGGCGTGCGGATGCCGGCGAGGTTCGTGGAGGAGGACGCGCGAGGGGTGTCAGGGGGGGTGGAGTACGGGATGCTCAGCACGTCGACGGAGAGGCAGGTGGCGCTGCAGTACGCCAAGGAAGGCTCGCTGCCGACGGTGTTCGAGATCAGCTGCGGGGCCATCGACCGGGGAGCGGACTTGGAGCTGCTGTCGCAGTACCCCGAGGAGAAGGAGATCTTGTATCCGCCGCTGTCGTACCTGGAGGTGGTGAAGCAGCCGCGGGTGGAAGAGACAGACGGGATGCGGGTGCGGGTGGTGCCGCTGAAGATCAACGCGAACTTGACGTGCTCGACGATAGAGGAGACTCTGGGGAAGCGGAAGCAGCTGTTCATGGCGCTGCTGGAGAACGTGGAGGAAGAGATCGGTCGAGACCTGGAGGGCATGATGCAGTCGCAGCGAGTCAAAGACCGGATGGCAGATGCACCCTTGGATGTGATGATGAACTATCATCACGCATTGCACGAGCTGATCGCATACAAATTCCAAGAGGTCGTGAGGAGATACAAGGAGGAGGGCGAAGCTTGGTACAACAACGATGAAAACTATGTACAGGCCATGGGAGAAGCGACGAGACTGAAGGAGA